GTGTTTTGAGAAAAATATTTATTCTTTGACCTTAGCATTCTCATGTTCTATTTCCTTGCTCATCTTTATAGAATTACTCGTAGCCAAATACTTGTGAAGAAAACCGATGAATCGTCAAAACCATGTGCGGAAATATAAGACGAATAGCGATGATCCCCGTGTATTAGATAATTTTCTGCTACATCTTCAAATATATCAAGTATTAATTCGGTTTAATTTCTCTACTTTCTCACATGATTTGGTTATTCGCTTTAACATTCGTACTGTTTTTTATAGAGAAATAGTACTTTATTCTTCTCGCTTATTTATTGTTTATATTTTTCTTATGTCATCTCATGTACTGTTAGGATCTAAAGACCGCAATTTTAGCAAAATACAAAAAAATACTCATTATATATAGTTTAAAAATACCATCTAATTTCCAGTGTAGTTTTATTTAAATTGAGAAAAATACCTGTGTTATTTGTTTTGATCAAGTAATATTATCGTTTTGATTTGAACTTTTACACTATTTATCTTCCACACAGTGTCTCCAATGGAAATCTAAAACAAAATGTTTCTGTACACTGATTTTATATTACCAAAGCAGGCGTATACATTTCCTTTTTTGTAGGAGTGTATCAAATTGTATAGAATTGCAATTATAAAAAAAAATAAAAAGAACAAAAAACTAAATAAATAATCTGAATTTTACATTTGATAAAAAACACATATTGATAATCAATCAAGATGAATGTTAATTAGAAAATAACTTTTCATTTTTTTCTGATAGGAAGTGATAAAAAATACATATTGCTAATGAATTAGCATTTCTTTTACCTTGTATTTCACAGAAGTGTACAATTCTGAACAGATATACTTTAATGGTGGTACTAACAAAGTTAGATTTAATACTTATGTTAGGACTGATTTCTGTACAGGGTAGCTTTATTATAACTTATTACTGGTGTTTATTTCGTGAAAAATTGCGTAAATTTTTTATTTCTAGGAAAACAATAACTTTGATATCAAAATAACATAATAAAAAGGGAATGATACTACTTGAGAATAGAAAAAATATCGTTCATACTCTCATAACTATTAAAGCTTTATGAAGAGACTATAATTTCAAAGGAAATAAACTTACTTGCTGTAGTCGTACGAAAAAATATGTGATCGCGAATAGAATAACAGTATAATGTAGCAATATTGTGCTCTACATGAAAGTATAAAATATTATGTTGCTTATATAGATGTTTGCGAAATGTCCTTCCTTTTTTGATGACGCATACATTACATGACAAAACTTTCCATGTTATATGAATCAGGTATTACATTCGTTTTGTGGTGAAATTACATTTATTTTGTTTGTTCTGTCTTGCATCGCTCGAATAACATAGAAGATTGCTATACGTAATAATTATTCATATTATCGTCAAAAGGTATAATGCAAGGACTTCAATTGGTTGTTTTTCCTCACTTGCATCATACGATCGAAAAAAAAGGGTTCTCACTGACGATAGACTACTACTGAATGAGAAAGTCTTATTTTCAAGTAGCTTGTTTTATTAAAAATCAAATGAATTATACATAATACTAAATTTCATCTGTCTAATGATGATATCTGATAGAGTAGATGTCGAAATATCACATAAACAATTTAAAAAAAAAAAGAAATTTTGTAATAAATAAAAAATACACATGATATTTAGTTTATTTTTAACTGCATTTGTCTCTTTAGTTATTATTAAATATATTTTATTAGCAAATATTTTAGAGAGATTGAAATTTTGATCATGGATTATTTTCTTCATATAGTTTATTGTATTTATCATTTATTTATTATTTTAATGTTACATGACAATATTATATATGAGAATAACTTACAAAGACATTATTGACAATATAACTGAATTATAGAAAATCAATATTGAAATATTTCTCAATGAATATATTCTTAAAAAGATCAATTTAAACTAATATAATGTACTTTATACAGACTTCACTCTTGTCAATATTTTCGTTCTTATTTTTTTATGATTCATCGATGTTTAGACGATATTATCTATTGATCACACTAACATAAAATGAATAATAAACAAAACTTCATATATTCAAACATGTTATTTATTCGTTGACATATAATATATTGAATTAAATGGTCTGTCTATACAGATAAAAATGGCAAAGTCCACACTCAGGAGAAAACATTATTCTTTGATATTTTAAAATACGGAATGTGAGGATGAAAGTGAGTTAGAGTTATTACTGCCATGGTTTCGACAGTTATTCAAGCTGTCAATCTTCAGACAGTTTCTAATCAATCTGATGATTTTTACGAAAAGAACCAAAATATAGATTAATTACGCAGTTACTTCAAAAAGTAAAGGTAAATTAATTTACCCAAGTGAGCAAAAAATAAGTGAAAACGGCCGACATGACTAGTCTGAAATGTCCGTAATACCCGTCATGTCTAGTCTAAAACGTCTTACACACTCGTCATAACTAGTCCTCTTTAGGAGAAATGTCCTTTAACTACGTCTGGACTAGTCCAGAAAGTCCTCAAACCCCATCATGTCTAGTCCTTTTTGTCCATCTATCCCGTCCAGACTAGTCCGTAGAACAGAAATATAACAAAAAAAGGAGACGAAAGGTGGATTCGAACATTCAATCCGACAGTATTTAATATCTGACGGGTGTCCTGACAGCAGACCATGACTTAGTGATAGACTGACGTCAGTTTAAACAGTCTAAGTAGCAGAGTGACGCGTGTCCATCTGCTAGGCGATGTGAAATCCGTCGAAGACGAGCGACTTGACTAATGTGAAATGTCTTCAAGAGTGGTCAGGACTAGTCCGATGTGTCATCTATGCACGTCAAGACTAGTCCATTTTTTTGAGAATGCTATGTTAATTCTTGATCATACTAGTCTAACAACTGCAGGTAGTTTATTTTGTTTGGATTAAAGTGTCCTGCTACTTCGTTGAAACTGATCCATAATGGAAAGAAAAAGGAGTAGAACGCAAGACAAGGAATTTTTCAATAATTCTATGATAGTTAAAAACAGCCGATAAATAATCAGACATATTCAGAATGTGGACCGGATATGAGGATAAGAAACATTTCGTTGCCTATCTTCTATTAAGAACTTCATGATTGTTAGTTAAATATAGTTTGGTATATAACGATTACGAAAAATTAATAGCAATTATTAAATTTTTTAGTAATATGCATATATGTAGACTGTCATCTGCGTTATTGATTTCTTTTCTAATTAGGATGATGACTAGAATGTCCTTCAAAATCATTACTAAAGTGAAGGATAGACGAAATATTCTCTGCATCCGTATTTTAATATAACGCATTTTTTATAGTTTCGTATGTGACAGTATTTCGAAGCATAAAATCCTATTAGTAAATATAAAATAAAATATTTATTTCGTAGCGAGAATTTTCAATTTATGTAGTTTAAAATTTATTAAGTGTGCAAAATAAATTAAAATTAATTTAATTCGAAGATAGCTTAAACATTTTGTGCCACAATTTTATTTTGTTTTATTTTATTTAAAATATAAATTTTGATTTAAATTTAAGAATGTATTTAAACGACACAAATTTAGTTTCAAGTTTAAAATGTTCAATTTAAATTTAATTTAATTTGAAATTTAATTTAATTTCAAAAAACTGAATTTATTTTCATTTTAAATAATTTTTAATTTTTTTGATGTTTAAAACTTTTTTCAGTGTAATTAACTACTTCTAGTTGATAAAAATCGGAAGAAATTTCTCTAAAAAAATTAAAAATTTTTAAATTTATTTCGTTCAACATTGTCTAAAGAATTTTACATTCTCTAATAGACAATGTTTCATTAAAATGATAGCTTGAAAAACTTTAAATAAAATTGTATTACATAGCATCTCAGAGTGATTATGAACATGTAGAAGTTGATCTCTTGATCGTATGGTTCAATTGTCTAAATGATAGTAAGTGACATATTGTATGCATGTTCGAATCTAATCTTCATCCTTACATATTTAAATTTAGACTCGTCCGGACTCGTCCACTACATAAGACTACAACTCGACACATGTACTGTCCGTGACGTCCTTACTTTTTCAGTTTTCAATCGATTTCGGACGGGAGTCATGTCGTCCCGTCTTGCTTAGTCTTTGTCTCAAAAAGTCCTCGACCAGGACTAGTCCGAATGTTAAGAATGTACTTTCCTCTCGACTGACAAATTTGTAGTCCTGGACGGGTCGCTTTTGACTAAAGGATTAGTCTTACCACGTCCCTGACGCGCGTCAATGATACTGTTAAGACTAGTACGCATGATGGGCTGAAATTCGAACTAGTCTTGGTAGGGGACTTTTTAAGACAAAGACTAAGCATGACGAGTCGACATGACTAGAAAAAAGACTAGACATTTGGGCGTGACCAACTGTCAGGAGGTCCCAATCCTCATTCATTCATGTAGGTTCAACTATCTATCAGAAAAACGTGATCTTTTTATCACTTATACCACTTGTATAATGCTGTTGATCTGTAACTGTTTGAGATATAAATATTGGTAAAAATGGGGATTACTAAGGACATCCTTATGATTATATGGTAAACATGCTTCACATCATATTTGTTGATATATTGTCCTCGCTATAAATTCCATATACCATAATATTCTATCCATTCTGTCCTAGCATCGGGTTCTCATTGGATCATTCTTGTTCGAATCGTGATCTTTTCGCTTTCTCTCGTTTCCCCGTTTTCTTTAACATACTTTAACTCGCTAACACATACAAACGTTTATAACCCTTGGATTATGTCTTCCTCACAAGTTAAATGGAATTGCTCTCAATGTGATTATGCTCCAAGTGATCGTCGTAAATATTGCACCGAATGTCACTCAATGTTAACGTGAACATGTACTGGTTCATCAAGGTCTGGTCTGTATAAGAATTATTATCGTCATCGTGACAATTGTAGCTTTTGTACACCAGAACTTGGAGAAGAAAAACAACACGAAATGGAAGAGAAACAACAACAACTTCGGGCTTTAGATGATAGTAAGTAACATCACTCTATTAGTTTACATATGCGTTTCTTAGTCAACTATTTTATGCTACCAAAGTAGTCAAATTAATAACTATTGTACTTTTTTGTATTGTAGAACAACGTCCTTGGTCCGAACGGAGACGTACCAATGCATCTTGCATTCAACATACCGGTTATGACGTCGAACAAGTACAAGAATTATACTTCATGTGTGAAGAGCCACTGATAAATTATTGCTCTCATAAGAACTACCGACTTACGAACAGTGCTGCTACCTTTTATTTATCTTCTATGAATATGCTTGTCGTTAAACTATGGCACTTAAAACATTATCATTCTGAACATTATATTGCTTCGGAATTGAATATAAGTCAATAAGCAGCGAATTATTTATTGTCAACAGTTGTCGATATTTTACATTCGTGTGTATATTCAGAATTAATTTCAATACCTGCTAATATATCTAGCAGTAGAACACCATACGGACCTCAACGATACCACAAGCTAATAGTCGACTCGACTTTTATTGCAATTCCGAAATCTTATGATTCACAACTACGTAAAGCATATTATCACGCAAAAAGTTCAACAAATTATGCATTGAAAGTACAAATAGCTTGCGATTTTCATCATCGAATAGTACATGTATCCGAATGTTATCGTGGAAGTGTACATGATATTACAGTTCTAAGAGAATCAGGACTATTAGAACATGTAAACGATGATGTGCAAATTATTGGTGACAAAGGATACATTGATGAAGAATATGTGGTGACTCCAAGAAAGAAGTCTCGTGGACGTGAATTAACAGATGAAGATAAGGATTTCAATTATGACATTAACAGCGCAAGAGCAGCTATTGAAAATATTAATCAACGTCTGAAAACGTATGCAATTCTTGGTGGTGTCTACAGAGGAGCTATTGACGATTTTCATAAGACAACAAAAATCGTACAAGTGGTTTGTGCTCTATGTAATTTGAACTTAATAAAGCATCCTATTCGTAGATAAATAAAATCATAACTTGTGTTTTCTGATTAATTACTTAATAATGAAACCTATTGCTTTTTCATGTTGTCACAAATATCTAGTGGAGAATGGTGTACGTTAACAAATATGATGTGAAGCATGTTTACCATATAATCATAAGGATGTCCTTAGTAATCCTCATTTTTACCAATATCTATATCTCAAACAGTTACAGATCAATAGCATTATACAAGTAGTATAAGTGATAAAAAGATCACGTTTTTCTGATAGATACTTGAACCTACATGAATGAATGAGGATTGGGGCCTCCTGACAGTTGGTCACGCCCATATATATAAAGAAAAAGAAAAAATAGATTTGACAAGTATATATGACTCATCACGTTGATTGTCTTTTTACTCTTTTATCTGCTTTGTTTGTTTTTACTTTGCTATGTACATTTATTTACTATAATTTAATCATTTTAACTGTTCGAGAACTTCCGAAGAAGATCAATTTCATTGGTCGAAACGTCAAGGAAAAAGAATATAATTCATAAATAAATAGGAAGAGAACTATATTAATAAATAATGTCAAAAATCTTCCTCAATCGTAACGAATTGTAAATTCTTTATCCTGATATCTAATTACATCACTGAATGCAAGTTTTCTTTTGTAAGCGAATCTTTTTTTTGTTAAGGCATGTTTACATCGACGATGTACGAACCATAATCATATTTGATAGTATTGTACACAGTATTATTAGTCACTATCAAGTAGTTCAAATATGAATTCATGCTAATAATTATTTAAATTATAAACAATACGAGAATTCTTTTATTCAAAATAATCAGACTGACTTGGCGCATTCATTATATTATCTTTAGTCTTTGCTAAATCTTTTCGAATTGTTCGATTAAAAAAATATTCTTGGTGGAACGTTACGGAACGCGTTTTCTTTCAATAGAAACGTAAAGAAATGAGTTTTCAGAGAAGAAGAATATATTTTTATTACACTTTGATGCTCACTATTAGTCTAACTTCGAATTAGATTTAGATAACACCTTAGCAACCTAATTTTGTAGAAGAATTCAATTGTAATCTTGATCTTGAAAAATCTGGATCATGATTTTCATGTTCTATATTGGTGCAAGGAACAAAACTTTCAACTGTTATTTCATGTGATGTGAAAAATAGTGTCAAAGAATTCATTTTTTAGAACTCATATGTTTTATATGCGTGAATTCCTGCAAGATTGTGTATGCAGAACGGATACATTTTGCATCATTTCAAGCAAAAATAATGCAACATAAGTTTGAAAAAGAAGCACGTTTCACGTTTCCTCCAATTTGTATCTGTCGAACGCATCGTTTGTTGACTGAAGTGCGTTTGACAGCATTTCGATTCGGAAATGCCTCGAAACGTACTCTCGAAAAAAAACGTTTCGGATCGTTTCAAAAAATGATGGTGGCGAAACGCATTTTATGTTAGTAAGAATGCTGCAATACGCGTCCTGTATTGAAAAAAACGTTGCAAAACGCATGCCACAATCTTTGAAACGTCTTACACAGTCCGTTTCCTTCAATATTTTACTCCATGGATATAACTTACATACATATACAATATACAGAGATCAGAATTTTATACGAAAAAAAAATACTTTCAATGTATTTTTTTATTTTGTAGTTCAAGTAAAGCTAGCAATTACGAAAAGTTTTTCATGTTATCCATTTTCATTAAGATTTGAGTGGCATAAAAGGATTAGGAACTGGATAAAGTTCAATGTCAGTTTCAGATTAAAAATGCAAATTTTGGAACAGTGGATTCTAAACTATGAAACCAATAACTTGAGAGTCGGTGAGTAAAGCGAGTCAAAACCGGTTTCGTCCTTGCTTAAGGAACTCCTCAGTTGACTTTAATTCTTCTGTAGTTGTTCAATTGTTTCAATAACAAATAAATGATGTGTCACCTCAAGTTATTCTTGATATTCATCATTGCCATCATGATTTAAATGCTATTGAATGTGAATATCTTTCTCAAAGTAAGAGCTGTATATTACAATACAACGAGAGAATTATGAATTTTCATATAACACAATCATTTCTAATGATTTTTTATTAGATGGAACTTATATTCGATCCAATCGTACTAGTCTTCGTCCATATTCTGAACGAATAATATCATGTTCAAGAAGAATATGATAAGATTTTGAAAAAAACTAAAGAATCTCTTTCAAAAACTTGGAAATCAATACCAGTAAAATTGCCTCTTTACACACAATTTTCGCAACGTCTTCATGCATATTTAACTCTTCGTTATATGACACGTTTACCATATATGGATCAACTGCATGTCAAAAAGAACGTGAAATTGTAAAATCTATTCGACGAAAATTAAAGAAAAACAATCTTATTCTTCGTGAAAGTGATAAAAGTGGAAATCTTTACGTTGGTCATAAGAATGCTTTTGAACAAAAAGCAATTGAGTGTTATACGAAAATAGGTGCTTATGAAGAATTATCATCCAATCCACTCGAAGAAACTTTAATTGAAGTAACTCGTTTACTTAATGGTCTTCATATGCAAACAAAAGAACTCTTAAAAAACAAACATTACGAAAAAATGATACCAAAAAGAAAAGAAGTTAAATTAGTTTATATGTATTTTAATCTGAAAATACATAAAGTTAGTAGTAACAATTAAATTTATTTATTTTTTCTCATTGGCTCTCTTTTTTGTTTTCATCACAATGAGGATCCTATAACATTTTGACCAATTATGAATACAATACGTGCTGCAATAACATGTATTTCCCATTCTTTAGATGGATTAATTCGACTTTTATTTGATAGATATGCTAAATCGAAACCAATTGTTGATATTAGTCATCTCCTTCGTCTATTAGAAGAATATGCTCGTAATTGTCATCTTAAATCAACCACTCTATTTTATACTTCTGATAATAATAATCTATATATTATGTTACCACAAGATGAATCATTAAATATTCTCGAAGAATTTCTTAGTCAACCTAATATAGAAGAAAAAAAAAGAATTACAAGGTATTCCAATAAAAGTGATTAGACAATTAGCAGAAATTGTTCTGAAAGAAGCAGTGTTCTATGAAAATAAATATTATAGAAGATTATTGAAGAAGCAATGGGATCTTCATTTACTTTAACATTAGTGAATATTTTTATGTGGAAATCGGAAAATAATATTATTTATAACAAATTAAAATCCAATAAGATCTATGTCCGGTAAGTTTTCAATCACATTTTTATCATAGAATTTTATTTTTTTTATTTTTCATTCTGATAATAATTATAGCTATATTGATGATATCTTTGTTACTTCAAATGAATCCAAAGAAACAATTGAATGTATATCATAAGAAGCTAATAATTTTCATTCCGATATTGAATTAGAAGCCAATATCGGTCATAGTGTTTTGTGAAACCCGATCTGAAAGGAGTGTTGAAGTGTATAGGGTAGAAATTTTGGACCCACTCCCCCCCCCCCCCCCCCC